TAAAATCATCAAGGAAATAGATAAGGTGAATGGCAGCTGTCTTTTCCTTAGGATGGGGGATTTCAAAACTCGGGGGCATAATTTTAAGGTGAGAGGAGAAAGATTTAAAAAAGACATGAGGGTCAATTTTTTTTTAACACAGAGTCTGGCTTGTGTGTGGAATGAACTTCCAGAGGAAGTGGTAGATGTGGGTACAGTTATGCTTAGAAGACATTTGAATAAGTTCGTGAATAAGAAAAGTTTGGAGGGATATGGGCCAAGCACAGGCAGGTAGGACTAGTTTGGTTTGGGGTTATGGTCAGCATGGACTGGTTGGACCGAAGGGTCTGTTTCCTTGCTCTACAAGACTTGCCCTAGACAACCGGGTCTAGATTCAAACTGAGAGGACTTTGGAAGCTGGTTTTATCATCAAAGGACGGTACAGGGAGGATTAAATGAACAAGAAAGGACAGAGAGTAACTTCCTTCCCAAAGAAACTTGCATACAGAATTGCCTATCCTGCTGTTTACGTTCTGCTGGTGCATTCCTGTCCATGTGAGATGCCTGGTGTAAGGAATAGGATCAACTCTAGTTGGGACATACTCCTGGAAATTTTGTCCCAGGAGCCCATCACCAACTCTGTACCTTCATCATTGCTTGCTCAACGTGTTTATCCTCACGGTGCCCCACAGTCACACTTCAATCTGAAAGTTACCAGACCACAGTTATCCAGTTACAGGATGTGTGACTCTCAGTCAAAGCAGCCTTTCTCCCCAGCTTCCAACTCCTTTGTAAGGAATAAACAAAAATGCTCAGCAGGAACAAGGCAGTGCCCTGGAGGCTCATCATTCCTGGAGACTTCTGGAATGAACGATTCTTGGATAATCAATAAGCCGGGGGGGGGAAGGGTAAAACCCTTCCGCTCCTTCTGCAATGGAGCTGGGGTGGGATCGTCTCAGGTTTCCAACCTGTACACCCACTGTACACCCATTTGGGATGAAGGACAATTCCGGAAATGACCGGATGTCTTTAATGCAGATTCCATCAAATCAAAAAGCACTGAGAAAGGGGTGAGTGGAACCTTGCAAACATTGTGACAAAGCCTCTGCCTCCCATAGGTGTTTGAAAAGAATCCGCAAGTTTAATATCAAAAGTGATGTCAACTCTGAGGACCATGGCTAATGGCGCAACTAGAGGCGATGGCCATTTTTAATGTGGGCGGTCCGAAAGTAAAGTAAAAGATTTCAGTTAAATAGCACTTTATTGATCCTTTCAGCAGTGCTAAGTGTTTCACATGCAGTCACTGCTGCTACCCAGGCATGTAAGAGCTTAAAGCATTTACTCAAAATTAATGCTTCCAGAATCTGAAACCACTGGTGCCTGAATAGGATGGGTGTGTGGAATGGAATGTTAAAACCACTCTCACCCACAGATACAACAGAGGAAAATGCCCTCTCTTTTATAATCTACCTTTAATGAATTCCAGCAGCCCTGCCGAGTACAATATTGCTCCCAAGGCGGTATCAGGACGACACATCTGATGACAACATTCTGCAATAACGTTCATGTTTTCCTCAAACTCACCACTGAGACAGACAATTTATAAAGCTGCATGTTCCCTGCTGTGGGGCTTTGCGTGGCTAGCTCATGAAGGTCAATGCAACCTTCTTTATAGCACAGGACATCATCTGCAGTCAGAACATTGCAGGCAATGCAGCAGTTAACTGTGCGCCAGTTTATGGTACCACATATGTTATGGGCTGCATATGATGGGTACAGAACGCATGTGGCACAAAATCCAAACCCTGTGGCACCCGAAACAGAACTTGACTTCCAACCATGGCATTGTTAATAATTAAACGTAAAATAGACCACTCAGTGTCACCAACATGGAATACCCATCACAATCTTTTACTCCCATTGGAGAAGCCATTTAACGTTTGAACCTCGCAACACGACCAATGTCATCCTTACATCCTTCCAGCTGCTGAATGCCCACTGTGTAAAGGTTTACTTTCTCACATCCATCCTATGTTTGTTCTTCCCACTCTGCCCTGCCACTTGCTGTTCACATTGGTCAGCTACACATGACCATTTTTTATTACTCCTGTCATGACTTGGAAAATGAACTTCCTTCTCAATTCAGATGTTTGTCGGTTATTTAGAGAGTCGGTATGGACTCGATGGGCCGAATGGCCTGCTTCCACACTATAGGGATTCTATGACTTCACCGGGGAGTTCCTTGCATGGGAAGAGGTGACAGAAGTCGTACAGAACGTAGGAACTGTGTGGGTTGGAAATTTTGAGAGACATGCCATTTATCATCCTCTCATCACTCACATAACATTTCCAACACTATTTTCAAAGGGGCAAACCAGGAGATTAAGCTCCCCTGATAACAGCCTAGTGATTCAAACTAGGCAATTCTTTGGACACTAACTCTTGCAGAGTGAAGTCTTTGAGTTCTTTGGAAAGTCATTTCTATAACCATTTGAAAAATCAATGTTAAGAAAAGTCATTCGATCTAGTAGGAGAGTGTTTGTATACTTGATTTTTAAAAAAAATTATTCATTTATGGGATGGGGTCTGTTGCCTAATTAAATGTTGTGGAGAAGATAATAGTTGCTTTATTGACCTGCTGCTGTTGTTAGTGTGTGGGACACAAACATTGCCATAAGGCATGCAGTTCCAGGATTTGATCCAGTGTCGGTGAAGAAACAGTGATAAATCGTCCAAGTCAGGATATATAAATTGTACATTTTGGGGAGTCCAAAATTAAAAGGCAGTAAATGTAGGGGAGATTGTGGCGTAATGATACTGTCACTGGAGCAGCATTCAAGAATCAAGCTAATGCTTCTGTTAATTGGAGTAGCTGAAGGCACAGACACCATTGGTGATGCAAAGCAAGTCCAGCTACGATTGGAGTTAATCACTGGGAGGGGAGCAGAATCACACAAACCCTGCAGCATGGAAGCAGGCCATTCAGCAGTTTGACCCTCCAAATAACATTCCAGCCATACCAGCCCCCTACCTTATTGCTGTAACCCTGCTAATCCGCCTAGCCTACAAATCCCTGAACACTATGCGGCAATTTAGCATGGCCAATCCACCTAGCCTGCACACCTTTGGACTGTGGGAGGAAACCGGAGCACCCGGAGGAAACCCACGCAGACACAGGGAGAATGTGCGAATGTTACACGGACAGTTACCAACGGATGGAATCGAACCCAGGCCCCTGGCACAGTGAGGCAGCAGTGCTAACCACTGAGCCACCATGCTGCTAATTAGGCCCTGGATATTAGAGAATCAAGTTTGTATCGTGCGCTTGATCAGTTTTAGCTGCATCTGCGAAGGTTAAGATATTTCACCAGTCCTAGATCACGCTCTCTACATTACCTGTGCGCACGCGCGCGCACACACACGCATGTTCATTTCAGTTGTGACACAAGAGAGGAATCTCAAGGGTTAATAAAAGTGTTATAAACAGAGCGCAAATGAATGTCATATGAGCATTACACCTTACCACTGTCTGGAAATGTGATATCATTCTCCTTGACAGCGCTTAGTAATAGCTGAACCTGTCAAAAAACATTCCCGTCTTAAAAAGGCGGCTGTCTATAGTGAAGCTGCAAGTTAAGACCAGAACAGAGACATTTGGGCAATTACCCCATACAACATGCCTGGGAACATTCCACTGTAAATGACTGGGGACTGATTTTATGCATTGTAACTACCTTTCTGTATTTAGATGCATATTTGCAATGCCAAGGCTACGGGTCAAGTGTTGGAAAATTGGATTAGAACAGTTAGGCACTTGTCTTTGACTGGCGCAGCTTCGATGGGCTGAAGGTTCTTTTGTAAAGTTTTGGCAAAGATCTGAAGCTCGGGTTGAGGGTGAGGTTGTTGACTTGCTCGCCGAGCTGGCTTGTTCTCGTTCAGACGTTTCGTCACCATGCTAGGTGACACCATCAGTGGAGCCTCCGATGAAGCGATATTATTCCACTCTGCTTGGAATTTATACTGTCCAGTTCATTATGGTGAGTAGTGTCATTTCCGGTTTTGATCTGTATGGGTTTGAGTATGGGATCCAATTCTCCACCCACACTTCAATCAACAAACACATAGAATTGGACTCCATATACAAACCCATTGAGATCAAAACTGGAAATGACACTCCTCACCATAACGGACCAAACAGTATAAATTCCAAGCAGAGTAGAATAACATCGCTTCATCAGAGGCTCCACTGATGATGTCATCCAGCATGGTGACAAAACGTCTGAACAAAAACAAGCCAGCTTGGCGAGCAAATCAACAACCTGAAGCTTCTTTTTTCTGTGCTATAGACCTCTAGGACAATGACTGTACTAAAATGTATTCTTGCTGGAGAAATAGTCCTGCTTTTACTGGTAGACTTTTCTGTAGGTTTTGGTCTCAAGTGTTTTTTGTTGACGGTTGGTTGACCCTGATTAAATAATCTCTTCATGCGCTGTGCTGCTTGAGACGACAGTATGTCATTTGCTGAGCCAACAGACTCCCCTAACAGCACAACCTACCATCGACACTACACAGAGTCCAATACTGCCTTGTCCATTGCTGTCAATTGTCATTCCACCACAAAGGAACATACATTAAATAGCAGCTCCAATCATCCTCTACCTCAGATCAAAATGGGGGGATGGCAAGGGGGAGAACTGGGCACAGAAGGAAGATTGGGATGGTGCTGGGGAGTGAGGGACCCAGAGAGAAAGAGCAAGAGAGAGAGAGAGAGAGAGAGAGAGAGAGAGAGAGAGAGAAAAAGAGAGAGAGAGAAAAAGAGAGAAGAGAGAGAGGGAGAGAAAAAAAGGAGACAGACACAGAAAAAAAGGAGACAGACACAGAGAGAGAGAGTGAGAAAGAGAGAGAGAGAGCGAGAAAGAGAGAAAGAAACAAAGAGAGAGAGAAAGAAAGAGAGAGAGAGAGAAATAAAGAAAGAGAGAGAGACACACACACACAGAGACAGAGACGGAAGAGCAAATAAGGTACTGTACGAAAGGACAAAAGGTTAAGACTCCCCTTGGTAAGGATGAAAGTGGTCCTAAAGGCTTTACAACACACAAATAGTTAAGACATTGCCATCTACTTAATGGCATATGATAATTTTTTTTTCAGGACTCTCTCGTGGCAGTGGTAGCATCCCAACCCCTGAACCAGGAGTCCTGGGTTGAAGCCCCACCGGCTCTCGAGGTGTGTAATAACATCCCTGAATGGGTTGATTAGAAAAATAGGTGAAAAATAAAATGAACTCTTTTCATTCTGCCATGCTGACTACTTTTGTTTCAAATCCGTGGCAGTGTCAATTTTACGCAGGGCAGCTGGTTTCTGAATGCAGGTCAGTGTTCTTTTTGCTCCTTGCTATGCTTGGAGATATTGCTCTGAGAAAGTTCAGCCACCTGAAAAGAGAACTGATGGAAGAGCTCCACCATATTGCAGGGAAGGGGATTTGCGCAGAATCTGCAACTTGAAGCCCATTGCCCGAGGTACCGGCTATTGGCAAATGTCACGAGGGAGATGGTGTGATAAATCAGAGTCGCTTGCAGGCAGTCTGACTGATCACCTTTCAAAACTATGAGGTTTTTCCCTTCAATTTAAAATGAGTTAAGGTACAAAACAAAAGTTCTTTCATTAATCAGGGCACTTCTAATGGTTCAAAAAGTTGACAGTTTGGACAGCTCAGTCCCATACTCAAATGATGGCCACATCCACACACACACCCAGAATGATTCCTAAATACGTCACCGGTCTTGGGAAACCAGGAGTTGCCCTTTGGGAAAAAGATTTAAAAGGGACTCGAGGAGCAACTATTTCCACACAGAGGGTGGTTCGCTGTGTGGATTGCCAGAGGAAGCAGTAGATGCAGATACAGTTACAATATTTAAAAGACATTTGGATAAGGACGTGAATAGGAAAGGTTGATAATGATTGGGAAAGTGGGCCAAATGCAGGCAAATGGGACTAGCTTAGTTCGAGAAACCTGATCAGCATGGTCAAATTGGAACGAAGAGTGTGTTTCTGTACTGAATCATCTGACATTCGGGAATTCAGATATCTTTCCCAGCTCTCTCGGCCACTTCACCTCATTTCGTCGGTGTACCTCTCAATGTGATACCCAGTCTGACCAGGAGTGATAACAACATGTGCAAGCATGAATAAACTGTACGTTTTCTAAAAAGAATTGCTATTGCTTTCTGTTTTAAAGAAAAGCACTAGTTGCAGATATAGTTAGCCAAACGTGAGTAATTGTTCAGATGTTCAATGGATAGGTTTGTTTTGTCCTGGTACTTGAAGAGATGGTTGAATCTTTAATTCATCGCTTAACTTTCGATTAGAAAGAAGCTCTTTAGAAAAACAATAAGGTGACTAGCTTTGTAATCACAGCAACCGCCCTGCTTTTAAGGCCGTTAGGAAAGTGATCACTGAATCATCTGCAATTCAGACCATGTGGAACCATGTCTGGTGCCATGCATGAACTGACAGCAGGACACAGCAGCAACAAGTACCACCTGAGTCCCTGCCTCCCCATCACATCACTTCACACTCTCAACACAGAACACTTGGCAGCATTCTTCACTCCCCCAACAACTTACATTTGCATAGCACCTTTAAAGTATCAGAAAACACAAAGACAATGCACAGAGGGATTACCATTTAAAATATGACGCCGTGAAGGGAAGTACATGGCCAGGTGCACGAAGGTTTGGTCAAAGATGCTGGTGTTTAAGAACATACCGAGAGACAGAGACAGAGAGAGAGTGACAATGGCAGTGACGGACCAAGAGACAGTCACAGTGACAGACAGTGAGACAGAAATAGAGACACTGTGTTAGAGAAAGCAACAGACAGCAACAGAGTGGGTGATGGACAGAAAAGAAACACAAAGACAGCGAGAGACAGAGATATAGGGAGTGAGCGACGGACAGAGAAGAGACACAGAGTGCGACAGACAGAGGCAGAGACCATGGACAGAGAAAGTGAGAGCAACAGAGAGAGAGAGAGAAAGTATGCAAGAGAAAGGACAGAGAAAGTGAGAGCAGAAATAGAGAGAGAGAGAAAGAAAAGAAAGAATGTGTGCTAGGGAACAATGCCACAGAGAAGTACAGACACAAAGAGCGAGAGAGATGCAGGGCTGGAGAAAAACAGAGACACACAGACTGCCTCCACCTTCCCCTGTGTGCACACACACATTGTGAGGCAGAGGGGTTTAGAGAGGATGTTCCAGAAATTAGCTGAATGCTCAGACACCAACTGTTAACAAGCTGATGCCCATTTGCCAAAGACTTGCAGAGATTTGCAAGGATTTCATTACAAATCTAGAAATTAGCACAAACATCATCTTTCCCTTCTGGATCCTTTTCCAGTGCAGGGGCCATCTCCACTTCGGGAAAAGAACCCAGATTTTTTTTTTTTAAACAATTCAACGCAGAAGAATTATTTACTCCTCTGGTTCGTTTGCAGATTCCCTTAAACCTGAGCTCTCTTACCAGCCCTCCTGCCAGGGGTTGGGTGGGTAAGGGTACAGATTTGCCTCATTTACTCGGTCAGAACCTTCCCACATTTTGTCGGCCTTCACACTGAGTTATGCAGGAAACAAGAAGGAAAGCTGGTTGGTCACAAGTGAGCAAAACAATGCACGTAGTGGGTCACTCAGATGCGAGGGAAAGTAATGGACAAACAGAAGCATGGACAGACACACAATGTGGGAATAAGCAATGGTCAAACAGCAGAGGTGCTGTGTTAACACGAGGGCCTGCCTATAATCATTCAGCGAAGGCAATAATGTTAGCTGGAAGAAAGCAAAGAACAGCAGCATTGTTGGGACTGAGCCACCGAATCAAAGAATTCCCGATGGCAAATGTGTGGCCCGTAAATTCTAACTCAACCAGGCACACTTTTCAGTAAAAAGTTCAACAATCTCTCTCTCTCTCTACTTTAGCAGCTCAAACGTTTTATTAACCTCTCACCAAAAGGCAAGTTGCAAGTTGTTGGATCATAAAGCAGCACATCAAAGGAGGAGGGCATTTATTGGTTTGGATCTCTGCCAAACAACAAGACCACAAGGGCAGCACGGTGGCTCAGTGGTTAGCAATGCTGCCTCACAGCGCCAGGGGCCTGGGTTCAATTCCACCCTCGGGCAACTGTCTGTGTGGAGTTTGCACATTCTCCCCGTGTCTGCGTGGGTTTCCTCCGGGTGCTCCGGTTTCCTCCCACAGTCCAAAGATGTGCAGGTGAGGGTGGTGTGGCCGTGCTAAATTGCTCATAGTGTTCAGGGATGTGCAGGCTAGGTGGGTTAGCCATGGGAAATGCAGGGTTACAACGGTGGGGTGGGTCTGGATGGGATGTTTTTTGGAGGGTCTGGTTGGGTTGAATGGCCTGCTTCCACACTGTCGGGATTCTATGACACATCTGGATTTTGAGGTGATTCACATACTAGTGTTTAGAACAGGGGGTGCAGACAGCCTCTTAGAACCCTTGGCCCTAACTACTGGGATTCGATTGGGACCCCGTTGGCCCTGCTTCACCACCACCTCAGCAAGGGTAATGAGCAATGAGTAATAAATGCTGGCCCTGCCCATAAACACAGGAACAAATTTTAAAAGTCTGTTCCTCAACACATCTTAGCTTTGCACCATTTAAAAAATACTATTGATTCGTCTCTCCCATATCCAGGACGCACCCTCAAGCAACCTCGAACCTTCAATGAGAGCAATAGAATTTAAACATACTGTCCAGTTTTATGACAGTATTAGCACATTTGCTTTCTCCGTAGAGAGCTCTTCAATTCTTGATCCAACTTAACTTTAAACAGGTGCAAACAGTAAGGACTACAGATGCTGAATGCTAGAGTCAATAAATGTTGAGCTGGAAAAGCACAGCAGGTCAGACAGCATCCATGGAGCAGGAAAGCCAACGTTTCAGTCCTGACAAAGGGTTTCGGCCCTAAACACTGACTTTCCTGCTCCTCAGATGCTGTCTGACCTGCTGTGCTTTTCCAGCTCCGCATTTATTGACTCTCAACTTTAAACAGTTCCATTGTGTTCTAAACAAATCTCCCACTGCAGGGCTATCCGGGTGATTGGAAAAGGTTGACCCAGAGCCTGTAAAGCCAATGGAAAGCAAAGTTGTGGAACCGAGGATGGAAGACAGAGGCTGGTGCTAATACAACTGTTAAAATATATCACTGGCTTCCTGACCCTGGCCCTAACAAATAAATTTGCTTGCATGCCGAGCTGTGATGGAGCACCTGTTGTAAAACCACACGCCTCTCCACGCAGCAATGAAATAAGGTCTTTGTCCTCCCAGCAGTGAATCACAATCCAGTGCATTTCTACAATACATGGCAAGAAACGACTGTCAGCACCTTTAATAAATTAGCATAACATCAGCAGGTTTGATATAAATGTTTAATTCAGGTTAGAGGCTCGGAATTCTGCAGCGAATAACTCAACTCCTGACTCCCCAAGACCTCACCAACTACAAGGCACAAGTCAGGAGTGTGGTGGAATACTCCCCACTTGCCTGGATGGGTGCAGCTCCAACAACAGTTAAGAAGCTTGACACTGTCCAGGACAAAGCTGCCCGCTTGATTGGTACTACATCCACAAGCATCCACTCCCTCCACCACCAACACACAGTACCAGCAGTGTGTACTAGCTACAAGATGCACTGCAGAAATTCACCAAAGATCCTCAGACAGCACCTTCCGAATCTATCAGAGATAGTAGGAACTGCCGATGCTGGAGTCTGAGATAACAAGGTGTAGAGCTGGATGAACACAGCAGGCC